AGGAAATTAAAAATGTTTAGATAGATAGATATGAATAAAAAACATACTTAAAAAGATAGATAGAAGAGATAGATAGATAGATAGATATAGATAGATAGATAGATATGATAGATAAATGGAAATAGATAGAAATAGATAGATAGATAGATAAAAATGGGATAGATGAATATAGAATTAAATAGATAGATAGATAGATAGATAGATAGATAGATAGATAGATAGATAACATAGATAGATAGATAGAAACCTATACTTACAAAGATAGATAGATATGATAGATAGATACATTAAAAATGAAAGATAGATAGATATGAATAAAAAGATAGAAGATAGATAGATAGATAGATAGATAGAATTAAAAAATGTTTTAGATAGATAGATATGAATAAAAAAACATACTTACAAAGATAGATAGATAGATAGATAGATAGATAGATATTAAAAAATGTTTATAGATAGATATGAATAAAAGACATACTTACAAAGATAGATAGATAGATAGATAGATAGATAGATAGAAGGAATGTTTAGATAGATATATGAATAAAAAGATAGATGATAGATAGAAGATAGATATAATAGATAGATAGATAGATAATTAAAAAAATGTTTAGATAGATAGATAAAAATGACATAAAGATGATAGAAAGATAGATAAAAAGATAGATAGATAGATAGAATTAAAAATGATAGATAGATATGAATAAAAAGATATAAACGATAGATAGATAGATAGATAGATAGATAAGATAGAAATTTAAAAATGTTTAGATAGATAGATAGATAGATAGACATACTTAAAAGATAGATAGATAGATAGATAGATAGATAGATAGATGAATAGATAGAAAGATAGATAGATAAAAAAAAAAAAGATAGATAGATATAGATAAAATACATACTTATGAAAAGATAGAGATAGATAGATAGATAGATAAATACAAAAAAATGTTTAGATAGATAGATAGATAGAATTAGGAAGATAGATAGACAAAGATAAAAGATAGATAAAAAGATAGATAGATAGATAGATAGATAGATATTAAAAAAAAATGTTTAGATAGATAGATATGAATAAAAAAGATATACTTATAGAAAGATAGATAGATAGATAGATAGATAGATAGATAGATATTAATAAAAATGTTTATAGATAGATAGATAGATAGAAGATAATTAAAAATGTTTAGATAGATAGATATAAATATAAAGATATACTAGATAGATAGATAGATAGATAGATAGATAGATAGATTAAAAAATGTTTAGATAGATAGATATGAATAAAAAGACATACTTACAAAGATAGATAGATAGATAGAGATAGATAGATAGAATTAAATAGATATAGATAGATAAATAAAAAAGATAGATAAAGATAGATATAGATAAAGATATAGAATTAAAAATGATTAGATAGATAGATATAAAAAAAACATAATTAAAAAGATAGATAGATAGATAGATAGATAGATAGGATTAAAAAATAAATAGATAGATAGATAAAAGATATTATATAGATAGATAGATAAATAGATTAATAAAAATGTTTAGATAGATAGATATGAATATAAGACATAGTTATAAAGATAGATAGATAGATAGATAGATAGATAGATAGATTAAAAAATGTTTAGATAGATAGATATGAATAAAAGACATATAAAAGATAGATAGATAGATAGATAGATAGATAGATAGGAATTAAAAAATAGATAGATAAATAGATAGATAGATATGAAAAAAATGATATAGATAGATATGAATAGATAGATAGATAGATAGATAGATAGATAGATAGATAGATAAAATGTTTAGATAGATAGAATGAATAAATACATACATACAAAGATAGATAGATAGATAGATAGATAGATAGAAAAATGTTTAGATAGATAGATATGAATAGATAAAAAAAATGTTTAGATAGATAGATATGAATAAATAGATAAAAAATGTTTAGAAGATAGATAGATAGATAGATAGATAGATAGATGAATTAAAAATGTTTAGATAGATAGATATGAATAAAAATAGATAGATATATACTTACCATTAAAAGATTAGATAGATAGATATGAATAAAAGACATATATAGAAAGATAGATAGATAGATTATAAAATGAAAAGATAGATAGATAGATAATAAAAATACATAGATACAATAGATAGATAGATAGATAGATAGATAGATAGGAATTAAAAAATGTTTAGATAGATAGATATGAATAAAAAAAGATAAGATAGATAGATAGATAGATAGATAGATAGATAGATAGATAGATAGATAGAAATTAAAAAAGATTTAGATAGATAGATATGAATAAAATATACATACTTAGAAATAGATAGATAGATAGATAGATAGATAGAATTAAAAAATGTTTAGATAGATAGATATGAATAAAAATACTTACAAAGATAGATAGATAGATAGATAGATAGATAGATAGGGAATTAAAAATGTTTAGATAGATAGATATGAATAAAAAAAGAATAATTACAAGATAGATATAGATAGATAGATAGATAGATAGAATTAAAAATGTTTAGATAGATAGATATGATAAAAAGATAGATACTTATAAAGATAGATAGATAGATAGATAGAATAGATAGGAATTAAAAAATGTTTAGATAGATAGATATGAATAAAAAGACATATTAAAAATAGATAGATAGATAGATAGATAGATAGATAGATAGATAGATAGAATTAAAAAATGTTTAGATAGATAGATATGAATAATAAAAGATACTTACTTAGAAAGATAGATAGATAGATAGAATTTAGATATAGATAGAAAAAAGAAATTAAAAATAGATAGATAGAATAATAGATATGTTTAGAAAGATATGAAAATGAAAGATAGATATGATAGATAATAGATAGATAGAAAAAAAGATGTTTAGATAGATATAGATATGAATAAAAAAAAAAGACATAGATATGAATAAAAGATAGATAGATAGATAGATAGATAGATAATAGATAGATAGAATAAAAATTTAAAAATGATTAATAGATAGATATGAATAAAAAGACATACTTACAAAGATAGATAGATAGATAGATAGATAGATAGATGATGGAATTAAAAATGTTTAGATAGATAGATATGAATAAAAGACATACTTACAAATAGATAGATAGATAGATAGATAGATAGATAGGAATTAAAAATGTTTAGATAGATAGATATGAATAAAAATACATACTTAAAGATAGATAGATAGATAGATAGATAGGAATTAAAAATGTTTAGATAGATAGATATGAATAAAAAGACATAAAAAAGATACTTAGATAGATAGATAGATAGATAGATAGATAGATAGATATGAATTAAAAAATGTTTAGATAGATAGATAAGAATAAAAAAATGACATACTTACAATGAATAGATAGATAGATAGATAGATAGATAGATAGGAATTAAAAATGTTTAGATAGATAGATATGAATAAAAAGACATATAAAGATTATAGAAGATAGATAGATAGATAGATAGATAGATAGATAAAAAAAAAAATGTTTAGATAGATAGATATGAATAAAAAAGACATACTTATAAAAAGAAATTAGATAATAGATAGATAGATAGATAGATAGATAGATAGGAATTAAAAAAATGTTTAGATAGATAGATATGAATAAAAAGACATACTTACAAAGATAGATAGATAGATAGATGTTTAGATAGATAGATATGATAGATAAATAGATAGATAGATAGATAGATAAAAATGTTTAGATAGATAGATATGAATATAAGATATACTTAAAAGATAGATAGATAGATAGATAGAATTAAAAATGTTTAGATAGATAGATATGAATAAAAAAGAATAGAAGATAGATAGATAGATAGATAGATAGATAGATAGATATGAATTAAAAATGATAGATAGATAGATAGGAATAAAAATTATAGATAGAGATAGATAAATAGATAGAATTAAAAATGTTTAGATAGATAGATATGAATAAAAAAGACATACTTACAAAGATAGATAGATAGATAGATAGGAAATTAAAAAAATGTTTAGATAGATAGATAATAAAAAGATACTTTTAGATAGATAGATAGATAGATAGATAGAAAAAAAAGATAGATAGATAGATATGAATAAAAAGACATAGTTACAAAGATAGATAGATAGATAGATAGATAGATAGATGAATTAAAAATGTTTAGATAGATAGATATGAATAAAAGACATACTTACAAATAGATAGATAGATAGATAGGAATAGATAGATAGATAGATAAAAGATAGAATAAAAAGATGTTTAGATAGATAGATATGAATAAAAAGACATACTTACAAAGATAGATAGATAGATAGATAGATAGATAGATAGATAGGAATTAAAAAATGTTTAGATAGATAGATATGAATAAAAAGACATACTTACAAAGATAGATAGATAGATAGATAGATAGATAGATAGATAGATAGGAATTAAAAAATGTTTAGATAGATAGATATGAATAAAAAAAAGATAGATAGATACATACTTATAGATAAAGATAGATAGATAGATAGATAGATGTTTAGATAGATAGAATTAAAAAATGTTTAAATAGATAGATAGATAGATGAATAAAAGACATAGATTACAAAAGATAGATAGATAGATAGATAATGATAGATTAAAAATGTTTAGATAGATAGATGAATAAAAACATGTTTAGATAGATAGATATGATAAAAGAAATATGAAAAGATATGATAGATAGATAGATAGATAGAATTAAAAATGTTTAGATAGATAGATATGAATAAAAGACATGTTTAGATTACAAAGATAAAAAGATAGATAGATATAGATAGATAGATAGATAGATGAAATTAAAAATGTTTAGATAGATAGATATGAATAAAAAAGACATACTTACAAAGATAGATAGATAGATAGATAGATAGATAGGAATTAAAAAATGTTTAGATAGATAGATATGAATAAAAAGACATACTTACAAAGATAGATAGATAGATAGATAGATAGATAGATAGGAATTAAAAAATGTTTAGATAGATAGATATGAATAAAAAGACATACTTACAAAGATAGATAGATAGATAGATAGATAGATAGATAGGAATTAAAAAATGTTTAGATAGATAGATATGAATAAAAAGACATACTTACAAAGATAGATAGATAGATAGAATGAATAGATAGAATTAAAATGTTTAGATAGATAGATATGAATAAAAGAAATAACAAAGATAGATAGATAGATAGATAGATGATAGATAGATAATAATGTGTTTAGATAGATAGATAAATAAAAGACATAGATTATAGATAGAGATAGATAGATAGATAGATATGAATAAAAAGATAGATAGATAGATGATAGATAGATAGATATAGATAGAATTAAAAAAATGTTTAGATAGATAGATATGAATAAAAAAGACATACTTACATAGATAGATAGATAGAAAGATAGATAGATAGATAGATAGATAAAAATGTTTAGATAGATTAAAAAAAAATTTTAGATAGATATAGATAGATAGAATAAAAGAGATAGATAGATACATAAAAGATAGATAGATAGATAGATAGATAGATAGATAGATAATAAATTAAAAATGTTTAGATAGATAGATATGAATAAAAAGACATACTTACAAAGATAGATAGATAGATAGATGGATAGATAGATAATGGAAAAAATGTTTAGATAGATAGATATGAATAAAAAGACATACTTACAAAGATAGATAGATAGATAGATAGATAGATAGGAATTAAAAAATGTTTAGATAGATAGATATGAATAAAAAGACATACTTACAAAGATAGATAGATAGATAGATAGATAGAATTAAAAAATGTTTAGATAGATAGATATGAATAAAAAGACATACTTACAAAGATAGATAGATAGATAGATAGATAGATAGATAGATAGAATTAAAAAATGTTTAGATAGATAGATATGAATAAAAAGACATACTTACAAAGATAGATAGATAGATAGATAGATAGATAGATAGATAGGAATAAAAAAGAATTAAAAAGATGTTTAGATAGATAGATATGAATAAAAAATGACATACTTAGAAAGATAGATAGATAGATAGATAGATAGATAGAATTAAAAAATGTTTAGATAGATAGATATGAATAAAAGACATTACAAAGATAAAGATAGATACTTACAAAGATAGATAGATAGATAGGAATTAAAAAATGTTTAGATAGATAGATATGAATAAAAATGTTTACTTACAAATAGATTTAGATAGATATAGATAGAATAGACATAGATATGAATAAAAAGACATAAAAATGAAGATAGATAGATAGATAGATAAAAAATGTTTAGATATAGATTAATAAAAGATATGGATAGATAGATATTAGATAGATAGATAAAAAAAATGTTTAGATAGATAGATATGAATAAAAAGACATACTTTACAAATATAGATAGATAGATAGATTAGGAATTAAAAATGTTTAGATAGATAGATATGAATAAAAGACATACTTACAAAGATAGATAGATAGATAGATAGATAGATAGAAAATTAAAAATGTTTAGATAGATAGATATGAATAAAAATATACTTACAAAGATAGATAGATAGATAGATAGATAGATAGATAGATAAAAAAAAAAAACTTAGATAGATAGATATGAATAAAAAAGACATACTTACAAAATAGATAGATAGATAGATAGATAGATAGATAGATAGGATAGATTAAAAAAAAAAATGTTTAGATAGATAGATATGAATAAAAAGACATACTTAAAAGATAGATAGATAGATAGATAGATAGATAGAATTAAAATGTTTAGATAGATAGATATGAATAAAAAGACATTTACTAGATAGATAGATAGATAGATAGATAGAAAATGTTTAGATAGATAGATAGATAAAGAATAGTAAAAGATAGATGAGATAGATAGATAGATAGATAGATAGATAGAATGTTTAGATAGATAGATATGATAAAAAGATAGATAGATAGATAGATAGATAGATAGATAGAATTAAAAAAAAATGTTTAGATAGATAGATATGAATAAAAAGACATACTTATAAATAGATAGATAGATAGATAGATAGGAATTAAAAATGTTTAGATAGATAGATATGAATAAAAAGACATACTTACAAAATAGATAGATAGATAGATAGATAGATAGAATTAAAAAATGTTTAGATAGATAGATAGATAAAAGAATAAAAGACATAGATAGATAGAAAGATAGATAGATAGATAGATAGATAGATAGATAGATAGAAGATAGAATTAAAAAATGTTTAGATAGATAGATATGAATAAAAAGACATACTTACAAAGAAGATAGATAGATAGATAGATAGATAGATAAAAAAAAATGTTTAGATAGATAGATAGATATAAATAAAAGACATTAAAAATGTTTAATAGATAGATAGATAGATAGATAGATAGATAGGAATTAAAAAATGTTTAGATAGATAGATATGAATAAAAAGACATACTTACAAAGATAGATAGATAGATAGATAGATAGGAATTAAAAAATGTTTAGATAGATAGATATGAATAAAAAGACATACTTACAAAGATAGATAGATAGATAGATAGATAGGAATTAAAAAATGTTTAGATAGATAGATATGAATAAAAAGATAGATAGATAGATAGGAATAGACTGAGGTAGATAGATCAAAACAGACTGAGAAAATAGATAGATTGATATGAACAAGTTAAAATAAATAGATAGATAGATATGAACAAGCTGAAATAGGTAAATGGATATAAATATAAAGATAGATAGATAGATGGGAACAGACTGAGATAGATAGAACAGAGTGAGATAAATAGATAGATAGATAGATAGATAGATAGGAACAGAGTGAGATAGATAGATAGGAACAGACTGAGATAGATAGATAGATAGATAGATAGATAGATAGATAGATAGATATGAACAAGCTGAAATAGATAGATATGAACAAGCTGAAATAGATAGATAGATAGATAGGAATGAACAAGCTGAAATAGGTAAATAGATATGAATATAAATAGATAGATAGATAGATAGATGAGAATAGATAGATAGATAGATAGATAGATAGATAGATAGATAGATAGATGGGAACAGACTGAGATAGATAGAACAGAGTGAGATAGATAGATAGATAGATAGATAGATAGATAGATAATAGAGATGGGAATAGATAGGAAATAGACTGAGATAGATAGATAGATAGATAGATAGATAGATAGATAGATAGATAGATAGATAGATAGATACATAGATAGATATGAACAAGCTGAAATAGATAGATATGAACAAGCTGAAATAGATAGATAGATAGGAATGAACAAGCTGAAATAGGTAAATAGATGTGAATATAAAGATAGATAGATAGATGGGAACAGACTGAGATAGATAGATAGATAGATAGATAGATAGATAGATGGGAACAGACTGAGATAGATAGATAGATAGATAGATAGATAGATAGATAGATGGGAACAGACTGAGATTGATAGATAGATTGATAGATAGATATATAGATAGATAGATAGATAGATAGATAGATAGATAGATGAACAGAACTACATAGATAGATCGATCGATAGATAGATAGATAGATAGGAACAGACTGAGATAGATAGATAGATAGATAGATAGATAGATAGATAGATAGATAGGTGAACAGAACTACATAGATAGATAGATAGATAGGAAGGAACAGACTGAGATAGATAGATAGATAGGAAGGAACAGACTGAGATAGATAGATAGATAGATATATAGATAGATAGATATGAACAAATTGAAATAGATACATTTTTTTACAGTAAGGTTCACTGTATACAAGGCTCAGGAGCAATTTGAGGTAGAGGTTTATGATAAGGGGTAGTTCATATGCATAGTAGGGGAAGATAATGATTGACTCTAGACTTGAACAAGTTAAGATTGTAGTGATTGGGAAGACATCATCTTGGAAGTCTATTCCACAGGGCAGTAGCTCACTGGAAGTAGCTCTTTAATTAGAATTTCTTGTTGATGGAATACAAAGAGAATATGTGTGGTTTGCTACTATGTAAGTGGCAAGGCGCATCCTAGTTGTAAAGGTCAGTCTTGGTTGAACCTCAAGATTCAGTTAATCTAAGTGCTTTCCATAATTGTAGCATTAGAGCAGGGAGAGCCTTACCACATCCTACTTGTGGGAGAGAGGTTGGAGTGTGGGAAATAATTTTTCTCCGCATGGATTTGGAAATGCTTTTCAACTCTATCAAGACTCGAAAGAAAGGTCTGGTCAGCTCCTGCCCAAATATGTTATCAGTACTCCATTTTCAGCCTAACTTGGCTCTTATAAAGGTAGAGGATAATATGGAATGTTATAGGAGGCTGATCATTTTACGAACATCTTTATCAATGGATTGTATATAAGAATTTCACTTGAGGTCAGGTGTGAGTCTGACGCCCAATATACTCTTGAGGCATGAGGCCACCTCGAGGGGACATCCATTCATCATGACTGGCAGTAGTTTGGGGTCTGATCAGCAGTGATGAAATGTAACCAGTTTGGGTTTAGATGCATTAAATATAACCAGCCTGTTTTTTCCCCCACTAGGAAGTTAGTGTTTGATTGGAAGTGAGGTCAGCTGCCAATCTCTGATCGTCAAGAATTTTAGAGATGCACCAATATATCATCGTATCTTTGGCATAAACATTTACAAATGATCGAAGTATATGCTTAGGTAGATGATTTATGTAAATCAGAAAGAGGGTTGATCTGAGAAGGTAACCCCGGGTGGATGCCTGCATTGACCACCAGGGCCTCAGAGGGCTTGCCATTAATAACTACCTTCAATAGAGAAAACCCTTCCAGTGATTCCATAGCTGGATAACTTGTGTGGCAAACCTTTGTGCCATACCATGTTGAAGGCCTTTGAGATATCTAATGCTATGGTCCTCGTAGTATGTGTTTCATCAAGGGCCTTACTAATTGCATGTATAATGGGAGTTGGTATGTCAGCTGAGGATTGGGCTGATTGAAACCCATACTGCTCAATGAACAAGAGATCGTTCCTATCCAGGTGTTTGATGATCTTTTTAATTAAGGCCTTAAAAAGCTTACTGAGGAGACTAATAGGTCTATACTGGGAGGTGGAGGATTGATTTCCCACATTCTTGAAGAGCTGGGCATATGCTTGCCACCTTCCACATGCATGAGAATGATTTCTCCTTCAAGCAGCAGTTAAATAACTTTGCTTGAATTGGGGATAATTCTGGGCTGATACTCTTAAGGACAACTAGTCAAATTTTGTCTGGGCCAGTGGCTTTTTTGGTGGCTCAGATTTTTCATAAATCTAGAGACTTCTCTTGCTGAAATGAGCATATTACTGAGATTGTGCTCAGTGAGGCATAGAAAGTTAGGGAGAGGATGACCTTTGTCATCTAACATTAAGTTTGAGGCAAATATTGAGGTGAAGAGCTTCACCTTGTCTGTCAAGCATGATATGAACTTGGGGGCCATTTATTAGTGGGTGGAGCCATTTTGCCTCGGTTCATAATTTGGTTGGTGATCTTCAGAATTCATGAGATTCAATTTGTTTTTTCTTTCAGCCTTGGCCTAGACAGATTGTAGAAAGCTGCACTTTGCCTTTTCGAGGACTATCTTACAGCAATTGCAGCCATTTCTGAAGAAAGTAAGGGTCAGACAACATATCTGCCTTCCACATTGGTATTGTTAGAGTGAACTAACCACTTTTTGTGGTGAACATTGCCATGTGGAAGTTGGCCAAGAGAAATTTGGTATTGATATTGTCAGTCCTCTCTGATATTTAATCAAAGATTACCGACCATTCATCCTGAGGACAATACAAGGCAATGACAAATGCTGTACTATGGTTAAGTGCCATGCGGAAACACATATACGGGATGGTATAAATGGGGTCTACTAGATAACTATGAACAAGTTGAAATCGGTAGATAGATGGATATGAACAAGATGATATAAATAGGTAGATAGATATGAATAAGTTGTAATAGATAGATAGATAGAGAGATAGATTTAAATAGAGTAAAATAGTGTCATTACTAACTATGGTGACTGATTAAGATTGCTTCTGAACATACTGTGGGGTAAAGATACGAATATATTTTTTCTATACCCATTTTCTCTCTATATGGACAAAAATAATTATCAAAGTAAATTCACCTTTAGAGGAACTTGTTATGATAAAAATACTAGATAAAGATGAAATCTACAATTTCAAAATGAAATAAAAACAAATAATGATAAAATTAAAAAAAAAAATTACTAAAAGAAACTTTAAAATGACGTCGAACAAGGTCCATGATAAAACATCAAAAATATATTTTCAAAATATAAAGACAATATAAAAAAAATTTTTCAATATATCTTTCTTTTTATGTGCTGTATCCTTTCAGGGCCTAGGCGATCATGGCTCTCCACTTCCTCCTATCCCTGGTAGCTCTCAATAAGTTTTGTCCCTCTGCCACCTCCCGCAGACCACATTCCGTCATCCATTAGGTATGTCACACTTTGTCTCTCTTTCCTTCTATTCGACCTGTGAGTATCAGATTCTCCAGGTCCTCCTTCCTCATTATGTGTCTCAGGAACTTCAGCTCCCTCTTCCTGATGTTAAGTATAAGCCTCTTCCTTGTTTGCATTCTCTCTAAGACTTCATCATTGCTCACATGCTTGGTCCATGATATCCTCAGCATCCTTTCTTTACTCTTTTTCTTTTTTCTCTCTCTTTTTCTTTCCCTTTATTTCTTTGCTCTTTTTCTTTTTTTTTATTTCCTCATCTTTCTATTCTCCCTTTCCATTTATTACTCTTTCTATTTCTGTTTTTCTCTTTGCTCTCCCTCCCTCCCTCTCTTAGATTTGGAAAATCAATAATTTTTTCATTATCTCTTTTATTCTGCATCTTGTTGCCTTTTTCTTTCTCTTTGCTTTTCTCTTCTCTCTGTTCCTTTCTTTTTCATTTTTGGTCTCTTTTTCTCCCTTTCGTTTCCTTTTCCTCTTTCATCTCTTTTCCCCCCTCATTTTCTTTCTTTCACTCTTTTTTCTTCCTCTTTTTCTCTCTACCCCTTTTTCTCTTTCTCTATTTTCTCTTTTTTTCTTTCTCTTTGCTCTCTTACGCTTTTTTTCCTTTCTTTTTTTATTTGCTCATTTTTTTTCTTTCCCTCTATTAGTCACTATCTCTCTTCCTATTTGCTCTTGAACTTAAGCAACATTAAGCCTGGTCAATACCTAGAAGGGTAACTGCTTGGGACTACCAGGAGCTGTAAGCATTGATGTGTGTGGTGCAATGGACAATGGCTTTGAATTGGAAATCAGAGATCCAAGTTACAATTTCAGTCAGTTTTGTTATATTTACTCACATGCAAAAACAGTTGTGTAACGTATGAATCGACCTGATCTCCCCCAGCTATGGATTAATTAGTAGGATTTGTATCAGTGAAATCATTATTATCACAAAACAATTCTTACAATTTACATATATTCTCTAGCTTTAAATAACCTGTAAGAGAGAGATAAACTATAAATTGAGTGATTATATTGAATCAGTTGCTAGATCTACTGCTAGGAAAGTTGATTCATGTTCTCTTGCCAGACAATTCTTCTTGTCAGAATTCATCTGAACCGACAGGCTTGGGCAAAAATAGACCCTGCATACACGGGATCGGGTATCTGTCTACCTCCCCAGATAAGATTCTGCCCTTTGGCATAGCCTCATCTGGGTTCCTCTTTGCTTGAAGGCAGAGTGTTCGACACAGCAAGAGCTTCCCATGCTGAAAGATCACGCTGCCAGCTTAGGCAGAATATTGCCCCCACTTACAGTCATTTATCAAAAGATACATGATCACCTAAGCACATATCAAGCATGGCACATAACTGATTGGCAAATGAAGGAAAAAAGACAAAAAATTAATTGTGCCTTCTCAGACTGTTTTCCATTGATGTAAAGTGGATAGATTATATTGAATCAATTGCTTATCTACTGCTAGGAAAGTTGGTTCACATTCTCTTGCCAGACAATTTTTCTTATCAGAATCCATCTTGCATATTAATAAATCTATTTATCCATGCATTGCATATTGCTGTCATATCTGTTTTGGGTTTTCTATTATATATCTTGAAATTCTTGACAAAATTCAAAAAAGGGTCTGTAATGTAATCAATCCATATGTATATGTATACATAATTTGTAAATCGCTAATCATCACTGTAAAATAACCACAATGAGAGCCGAGTTCAAATTCCAGTCAAATCCATTACATTCACTTATATGCTAATACCCTTGAGAAAAGTATTAATCTTCTTCTTCTCACCCAGCTATTGGTAAATAGCAGAACAGACCGGGTTGTATAGCCTTGGATGGCAATTGGTCTACTGCAGAAAGAAATGGCAACCTACTGCGGGAAAAAATCTGCCTCGCCAGTCATTTATCGAAAGATACATGATCACCTTAGCACATATCAAACATAACTGATTGGCAAATGAAGGAAAAAAGACAAAAAATTAATTGCGCCTTCTCAGACTGTTTTCCATTGATGTAAAGTGGATAGATTATATTGAATCAATTGCTAGATCTACTGCTAGGAAAGTTAGTTCACATTCTCTTGCCAGATAATTTTTCTTATCAGAATCCATCTTGCATATTAATAAATCTACTATTTATCCATGCATTGCATATTGCTGTCATATCTGTTTTGGGTCTTCTATTATATATCTTGAAATACTTGACAAAATTCAAAAAAGGATCTGTAATGTAATTGATCCATATGTAGATATATGTCTATATTTCTGAGATGAGGTATTATGTCCACTATTTACATTATTCAGACTATTGTCTTCATCTTTGTCACCATATTTCAAGGATGCATGGCACAGTGGATAAAGGTGTTAGTTAGGTCCAGTGACAAAACCCAAAGAGTGTGAGTTCAATACCTGGTTAAGGCAGTGGAGAACTTTCAGAGGGAAATTAGCAGGAGATAACTGATAAGAGACATCCATTAAACATGGCACGTTTACCATATCTATATATATCTATGTATATATATTAACCCTGTAGATTCCTATGTGGCATATAGATCCACAACTTCACTGTGCTAGATATCGCAGGTGTGGTTTCTGTAGCAAGTAGAATTTTATGAGCTAGAGTGAGCTGGACATTGGAAAATAATTAATAGGAATAAATAAAAAGAAATCGAGATATGGATAGTGGGAGAAGAGCAAGAAAGTATTAAGAAACAGGAGAATTTCGTTAGAAACAAAGAAAAGAGTATTGAAACATGGCAGAGTGGATAAAGGCGTTGGTTAGATCCAATGACAGGACCCAAAAGAGTGTGAGTTCAATACCCAGTTAAGGCAGTAGAGAACTTGGAGAGGGGAATTAACAGGAGATAACTGATAACTGACATCCATTAAACATGGCATGTGGAACTGGAAGGGTTCAGTTTGACATTCCAACCACCTGAAGAAGGCCGGAGCATACAACAGCTGAAATGTTGTAATAATAAATATGGCGACAAAGATGAGGACAGTAGTCTGAATAATGTAAATAGTGCCATATGTAGATGTATTCATAATTTTCAAATCACAAATCGTCACTGTAAAATAACTACAATGATAATGGTAGTAGCAATTCTGAATTACTTTATCCTCATACCAATATGATACAAAAATACACTTGGCCCCTGGCAACTCAAATGGTGGAGGTTACCCCCACCAGTTGAGTTGCCAGTGTTTTATGACCTCCAGTGTCTGCCTGTAGAGGTTTCCCATTATCTAATGACACATCTTCCATCTCTACTCTACAATCATGTTGTATACAAAATACATATACAGGAAATACAGAGGTTAGAATCAAACATAACGTCTGAAGCAATTGGTAGTGTACATCACCTCTGCTGCAAATTAGGGGGTTACTACTGTTATGAGTGTAGGTTTTGGTTGTAGTAGTAAAAGAAAAATCAAAACAATTTACTGTAGTTTTAAGTATCTAACTCCAAATTGTAGCAAAGGAATCTTCTAGGTTAATGCTCAAAATGAATAGTCAGGAAAAACATGAAACAGAAAGCACAACAGGATATTAATATTTTATTTCCTTTTATTTAATTTTATGTTTGTAATAAATTTACAGATGTGTTTTATTTGGTGCGTGAACACAGTACATGAATGTTTTTAGTATTATGATAATTTTCCTTTTATTATCTATACTCTTTTTTTATCAACTTACTTGAATATATAAATCCTTAATTTTTTTCAGGATTAAACTGCATAACCTGTAATGAGATTCGGAGACTGTTATATCTTAGATTTATCATAGTCAAATTTTTATATCTATTTTACTGGCTAAGGGAAAACTAATTCTAGTACCACATAAATTTTGGTGCTGAATGAAGGAAAGTTTTTCTGTTTTTATCTGTGATGAAATATCATCACTTAGAGACTACTACATGTCCATCAGGAACCTTTGACCTAAGAAGAGTTGATTTGTGATGCCCCCAATATATACTGGGTTCACCCTAAGAATCAGAAAAGTAACCTTTGTTTTTGGTGTCACCTCAAAGCATCAGAAGACCTAGGTGCCTTGAGGATTCACTCAGAAGGTAACTTTAAAGCCGCTAAAGAAAGAATCAGTCTTCAAAGGTGTTGATGGGAACACCAGCATAGATAGGAAGTGAACACAATTACACTTGAGTCTGTACGTTCCAATGTAGCCCATTTGGCATTGTTGATTTGACGTGGCTGACTCAGCATCAGAAAAATAATTGAACTTTCTGGCACAGGTGTTTAGACTATTTTGACATGACTGTCTTTGACCAGAAGCAACACTTAAAAAAAGGATAAAAGCATTGAAAACACCCAACTTTCAATATGACTTTTTATTCATTTGGGGAATTAAGGATGCTATTAAAATACTAAAGGAATAATGTAAATTGATGTAATGAATAAGCATACACCTGGATTCCCCTCACAGTAATATGACTGGCTTGTGTCAGCCATAAATACAGACTGATGTGGAGGTACATGGACTATGCCTATTGCCTACGCCTATTGCCTACCACTACAATGAGGACCAGTCCATTACAGTTACCTACTAGATTGTTCTACTTGGTTACAGTAGTCAACAACCACTTTGTTACTTCGAACAAATATATCCCTTTCCGGGACATATCATAAATTAAAAACTTAAATTAAAAATATTGTATTTCAAAAAAATTAAAAATCTTAGTAAAGTTATTTAATCTTAGAAATTACTTCTTCATTTTGTAATTATGAGCAAATACCCTTCAGGAATTCCCTAGAATCTACTGATTCAACTTCTATAATGATTTCGTAGTCAGCATCTCTACATATTTTAGCTTTTTTGGAGTTGGGTATCCAGCAATCAACTTTTTGAGAAAATTTCTATCAGCTGCACTGGAGGAAATATAATATAAAACTACCTCCAACTAGTCTTTTTCTTAAATTTAAAAATGCCTCCAATTACTTTTTTCTTAAATTGGTCTAATCAAGCATATAATGGTGAAGTACTAATTTGATTACTAAATGAGAAAGAGTGAGAGCAAATTTGACTATAACAACAATATAGTAATCTGACACCTAATTGTCTCTCTGCCAAAATACCTATGTTAAATTGGCTATGCTGAATCAGCCACACCGAATTGGCCACATTGATTTGGCCATGCCAAATTGGCCACGCCAAATCACCAATGCCAAATGGGCTACACCGGAATGTCCCATTCCCACTATGCTTAGGATACACAGACAAAAGACAATTGGATGACAGCAAGTTAAACAAATACTCAACTTGTGAGGGGACAGCAAGAAAATCTCACACACTTACGAGAAGATCAAATGTACAAAAAAAGGCCCAAAACCACATAACCCTTAAATGGCTGGCAATAATTTGGCATAGTTTAAAAGGGAATAGACAGTTCTTGAATGTAGGAAAACTGTTGTCTTATATTTTTGTTGAAACTTGAATAAAGCATGGAATAATAATAATACAACACAAAATGTATGGAAACAAGAAAGTGTACACAATATTTACAGATAGTTTTGGTATATTCTTGGGAAGACCGTTCCTGTAGAATGGGTTGACTTAGTCGCAGTCGGGCAGAGTCTCTGGATTGGATCTCTTCTTCCTCCCCCGTCTTCCCGGTACCAACCATATTTATATGGTCGGTACTCCACTATGTAAATTAGGTGGATCGTACCACAACAATTTTATAAGATATTAGTAATATAATATTATAATCAAAAACTATGATAGGAAAGGAATTTATACCAACAAATTTTATTAATGATCAAAAGATGAATATTTATTTTTATTACTTAACATTATTTTAGCTAACAATATATTCAGAAAGAGAGTAATATGGAAGCCCAGCAGAATCCATAATCAACAGATGTTTTTATGTACCATGTCCCTTCAGCACGTAGGCGATCATGGCTCTCCACTTCCCCCTATCTCTTGTAGCTCTCAATAAGTTTTGTTCTTTGCTACTTCATCCCCAGGCCATATTCTGTCATTCACTTATTTAAGACCGCTAAGTACGTCATGCATTGCTTTTCCTTGACTCTCTTTCTCTCTATTCAACCTGTGAGTATCAAATTCTCCAAGCCCTCCTTTCTCATTACGTGTCCCAGAAATGTCAGATGCCTTTTCCTAATGTTAAGTAAAAGCTTCCTCCTTGTTTGCATCCTCTCCAAAACCTTATTGTTGCTCACATGCAAGGTTCCATGACATTCTTGGCATCCTTCTGTCGACTCATACCTCTGTTGCCTCAAGTCTCTTCTTCATCTTTGAGGAGATTGTCCAACATTCGCTGATATAAAGGAGGACAGATCTTTTTATTATTTAATATTATTTTAGGTTACAATATATTAAGAAAGAGAGTAATATGGAAGCCCAGCAGAATCCATAATCAGCAGATCTGCTTTTTATGTACCATGTCCCCTCAGTATATAGGCAATCATGGCTCTCCACTTCCCCCTATCTCTTGAAGCTCTCAATAAGTTTTGTCCCTTTGCTACTTCCCTCAGGCCATATTCTGTCATCTACTTGTTACCTGGCACAGGGCTCTTCCCTGGGCTGGTAAGTTTCACTGCTATGACTAGCTTAGGCCAGCTCTGACCAGCTTGGGCAAGCTATGACCAGCTAACACCAGGTTTAGACCAGTGACCCGAGTGGAAACATTCAGGTTCCCCACTTTAAAAACTGACCTTGTGTCACATCCTGACTCAGTGGGGGGGTCAAGTAAATAGCTACTTGTTTATGACCGCTAAATATGTCATGCATTGCTTTCTCTTGTCTCTCTTTCCCTCTATTCAACATGTGAGTATCAAATTCTCCAAGCCCTCCTTTCTCGACATGTCCCAGAAATTTCAGCTGTCTTTTCCTGATGTTAAGAATAAGCTTCCTCCTTGTTTGCATCCTCTCCAAAACCTTATTGTTGCTCACATGCAAGGTTCCATGACATTCTTGGCATCCTTCTGTCGACTCATACCTCTGTTGCCTCAAGTCTCTTCTTCATCTTTGAGGAGATTGTCCAACATTCGCTGATGTAAAGGAGGACAGATATTTTTATTATTTAACATTATTTTAGGTTACAATATATTAAGAAGTAGAGTAATATGGAAGCCCAGCAGAATCCATAATCAGCAGATACTAAGTACTAATTTTCAATAGTTCAAGCCATAGAAAAATCAGTGCATCCATAACAGGAAAATGAAGCTGCATTGAAAAGCAATTACATTTGTTATCTTTGGAGGGGAATTATCAAATGAAGCCTATTCAGTTATTTTAGATGAGAAGAAAATGGACCAATCAGAATAAACTTGTCTAGAGAAGTTTTAAGCCAATCTATTTCAGTCTATATCTGTCTAGACTTCTTTCATTCATTCCTTATTTTCTTCATTCTTTTTTTCACACTCAGTCTTTTCATATATATCTATCTATGTAGCATTATCTGACAAAATAAAAAAAATAAACAGAGAATGACAAACAAGCAAAAAATTAATAATTATCTGTCTGGCTTCCCACCTATCTATGTATCGTTAAATGACAAAATAAAAAAAAATACAATGAATGATAAACTAGCCTAAAATTAATACTTATCTTTATATCCGGCCATGGGTCTGTCTATCTATTTATCTAGCTATCTATCTTGGACCGTTCATAATCTATCCATCTTGGACTATTCATTATCTATCTATCTATCTAGGACCATTCATTATAGATTGATCTGTCTATCTGTCTTGGACTGTTCATTATCAATATATCTATCTATCTTGGACCAATCATTATCTATCTACTTATCTTGGACTGTTCATTATCTATCTATCTTGGACCAATCATTATCTATCTATCTATCTATCTATCTTGGACCATTCATTATCTATTTCACTATCTATCTATCTATCTATCTATCTATCTTGAACCGTTCATTATCTATTTATCTATCTACCTTGAATTATTCATTATTTATCTATCTAGGACCATTCATTATCTATCTAACTGCCTATCTATCTATCAATCTATCTATCTATCTAGGGCCATTCATTATCTATCTATCTATCTATATATCTATCTATCTATCTATCTATCTATCTATCTATCTATCTATCTATCTATTTTGGATTATTCATTATCTATCTTGAATTGTTCATTATCTATCTATCTATCTATCTATCTATCTATCTATATATATATATATATATATATATATATATATATATATATATATATCTTGGACCACTCATTATCTAGCTACCTAGGCCATTCATTATCTTTCTATCTATCTATCTATCTTGGACTGTTCATTATCTATCTATCTATCTATCTATCTATCTTTCTATCTATCTATCTATCTATCTATCTATCTATCTATCTATCTATCATTTTGCCAAAAATAAAACAACAAATGAAAAGCTACCCCAAAATTAATACTTATCTATCTATCTGACCATCTATTTATCTATCTGTCTTGGACCGTTCATTATCTATCTTTCTATCTATTATTATGTGAAAAAATCAAAAAGAAAGCAATAAATGATAAACTAGACCCAAAATTAATACTTATCTATCTATCTGTCTGGTTGTCTATCTATCTATCTTGGACCATTCATTTTCCTACTATCGTTATCTTACAAAATAACAAAAAACAACAAATGATAAACTAGCCGAAAATTAATATATTAATATTTATCTGTTTGTCTGTCCATCCATTTATCTCTTCAAAATTTTAAATGCCATATTTTGTCTTCATGAATCATTACTAAAGATTTCTTATTCTCATTCACTCGCTGGGTCCTAGTGACATTGTCGCTTTTACTTTGCAGATATCACAGTGTGCGTTATCTAATAACAAAAGTGATGGAAAGAAAAAGAATCTAAAGAGAAATCGTCTTGATTAATAAAAGAAATTTTAATTTCCCAGCATCCTTCACTTGTGCACATATGTAGTCACAGAAACATAAAAAATTTAGTCGGAAATGACAAAATGCATCACAAAAAATCTTTTTCCACATTGTCAAATATTTTTCCCCAGTATTTTTCTTGATATGTAAAAATATATTTCATTAACTATAGATACATAGATAGATAGAAACTGAGATAGATAGATAGATAGATAGATAGATAGATAGATAGATAGATAGATAGAAACTGAGATAGATAGATAGATAAAAACTGAGATAGATAGATAGAAACTGAGATAGATAGATAGATAGATAGATAGATAGATAGATAGATAGATAGATAGATCCACTTTATCTATCCAGACTCCAAGTTACATGAATGCCATTTTAAAACCATTTTAAAAATATATTTCATTAACTCATATATATATATATATATATATATATATATATATATATATGTTTACCGAAAAATTATTTCAGTTGGGCTCTGTGTGTGTGTGTGTGTGTATATATATATATATATATATATATATATATATAATGCATTTGAGAATTATGAATTGTATACAGGATACCTAAGTCTGCTTATGTTTATCTTATTTTGTGAATATCTATCTCTATTCTATCAACTTCTTACTCTTTCTATCTCATGGTTCTTCTTTTCATACATTTTATGCTCGTATATTAACCAATTCATATCTGTTTCTGCCTCTGACTTTGCTTCTCCTCTATATGTTGGATGATAGGTTGCTACACTGGGATAGATAGATAGATAGATAGATAGATAGATAGATAGATAGATAGATAGATAGATAGAAACTGAGACAGATAGATATAAACTGTGATAGATAGAGAGATAGAGATAGAAAAAACTGAGATAGGTAGATATAAACAGATATAGGCAGATATAAATTGAGACATATAGAAACGGAAATAGATAGATAGATAGATAGATAGATAGATAGATAGATAGATAGATATAAGAAGACTTAAATAAATGAGAACACAGATAAAACACTGACCAGATATGATGACCTGAAATACACCCACACACGTTTATATAGATAGATAGATAGATAGATAGATAGAAAGAAACTGAGATAGATAGATAGATAGATAGATAGATAGATAGATAGATAGAAAGAAACTGAGATAGATAGATAGATAGATAGATAGATAGATAGATAGATAGATAGATTCACTTCATTTATCCAGACTCCAAGTTCCATGGATGCCATTTTAAACCCAATCTTCAGTGGATTTCTTAGAGAATAAAAGTTATTTATATACAGATTGTAATTTCTTCTCTATCCTTTGAAAAAAATCAACATGTTATTTTCATAACAACATCATATTTTTTTCAATATTTCCATGAATAATATAAGCTTAATGCTTAAGATTATTTAAATCATGAATAACATAAAGGTTAAATATTGCAACAATGGTGATGGTTCTTTCAACTTTTGGTATTTAAGGAAATAACAATATTTTTTTAAAATATCTCTACACGTGATATAAGATAAAATTCTGGATTTGTTCTGTTACATTAAAATTATAAAGGTTAAATATTAATACAATGCTGATATCTTTTTTCAAATTTTAATATTAAATTCACTAAACAGACTCAGTTGCTTAAGGAAAACAATTTCCAATTATTAACAACTATTTTTCATATATTTATTTTATTTTACTTTTGTTCAACCAATAAAAAACCCGAGAGACACTCAACGTAGAGTCAGTCAGTTATCTGCCATATGTGGTACATGCTTAGACGATCATATATCTTTCGATACATGACTGACGAGGCAGATTTTGTTCTTGCAGTAGGTTGTCATTTCTTTCTGCAGTAGACCAGTTGCCATCCCAGTCTCTCCTGCTATTTACCCTTAGCTGGTGGGAGAAGACGAGGATTCATACCTTTTCTAAGGGTATTAGCATGTAAGTGAATATAATGGATTCGAGTGGAATTTGAACTCGGCTCTCTGATTCCTCAATCCAAACTGCTATCCATTACTCCACCATGCCTCATCAGAAGCATTATGAGTAGCAAGCTCAAGATTTTGGATTTATTGTATTATCCTAATGGTTATTGGGTGGGTAGCAACAGTAATATTTCAGTTTATGCAAAGGCTATTGAGTAGCAATAATTGTGGGTCAGAATATATATAAAATCATAATAAAACATTACTGCCTTGCTTGAAGTGAACTCGATTAAAAGAAATATATAACAGGTTTAACAGCAAACTTGTCCAAATCCTGTAACAGCATGTGATAATTGTCCACCCCAGAAAATGTTTAATATCTAAAAAAATCACGGAACTTATTGAGTTTCTTTTTTTTCCAGGTTTTTCAGATAAGATGTTGACACCATTTGTTGTAAGAATCACTGAAAAAACCTTTGAGTTATTCTGCTAAAAAAAGGGGGCAGCAGTAGAGAGGAAAACTAGATCAGGAAGTTGCAACAGGAAGAGGGATCATCATTTCAGCTAAATAAATTCTTCAGAGTCTGTCTATATTTCTGAGATTAGGTATTATGTACAGTATTTACATTAGTCGGACTATTGTCCTCATCTTTGTCGCTATATTTGTCACAACGTTTCGGCCATTGTACGCTCCGGCCTTCTTCAGGTGGTTGGAATTTCGAACTGAACCCTTTATTTCGCTCACTGGGGTAGACTGTTCTAGTTCCACGTGCCATGTTTGATGGATGTCAGTTATCTCCTGCTAATTTTCCCTCTGAAAGTTCTCCACTGCCTTAACCGGGTATTGAACTCACCTTCTTTGGGTCTGTCACTGGATCTAACCAACGCCTTTATCCACTGTGCCATGTGTCCTTGAGAGCAGGAGATAACTTATAACTGACATCCATTAGACATGGCACGTGGAACTAGAACAGTCTACCCCAGTGATCGAAATAAAGGGTTCAGTTCGAAATTCCAACCACCTGAAGAAGGCCGGTGCGTACAACGGCCGAAACGTTGTGACAAATATGGCGACAAAGATGAGGACAATAGTCCGACTAATGTAAATACTGTAAATACATTCTTGTTTTTCAAAGTAGAGTCCAATGGTCTTATAAAAAAAATCTTGAAGAATTCCATTAATATATCTTTAATCATTTTTAAGATACAATGGTTCAAAGCTTAATTAGCAATTGAACAATTTTGCTGTTATTAAATTTGGACAATTTTGCTGTTACACCCGGTATATATGATGACAAAAAAAAAATATTGACACTAACACTGATATATGTGACAATAGTAATAACAATGATACATATAACAATAACAATAATAATAATATAACAATGATAATTACTACAATAATAGATTCGACTGGAATTCAAATCCAAGCTGCCATCCATTACTCCACCATGCCTGAAGGTAGTGTAGTGTTTCTTAACCTTTTTAAGTAATGACAAACCAACGAGCAAATGGAAATATCATGGCACACTTAGCAAAATTTCTAAAGGGTATGCTTTTAAATGTTATGAAATAAAACCACAGATTTTTTTAAAAAGATACGCACACAAATATGAACTTACCTTATTTCAATGTTTCTATTCAATTATTTGTGCAATATTTTTTTTTTTTAAATTCAATGTTTATTTCAAATATGCGATAAGCAGACCTCGTTTCTTCTTTAGCTGAGCATAGTCTTTCTTGCTTCTTATTGTTTTATTTTTGTTTAGATTTAAAGTCTAATTCACATAAATAATAAGTATAAAATTTTTAAACTGATAAAATTTTTAGCCTTTAATATGGAATAAAAAAAAATAATTTATTGATTTATTCAAAATACTAACATTGTATTTATACTACTTCCACACACACAAAAACATATATGTTTACCGTATATATCTATATAAATAATATCCACATTCTCTTAAATATTAAATCCATGCCACTTAAAATTTATTTTTTTAAAAAAGTTGAAAAATGTTTTAAAAAATTTTGAAATTGATTATATATGGCACAACGATGAGCCCAAAAAGAAAAGCAGCCACTCAGAGACTTTTTTAAGAAATCAATCTGTTGTTTAGTAATATTCTTATAGAATGTAGCATATATTTAGCTATGTAACTGATATACTATACTGAAAACACTCTATTCCTGGTTGTGATAGAAACATAAAAAAGATAATGGATGGAATTTTTTTTCAGAATTGATTTTGATTTTGCAATATCTTACTCAAAATTTTGGAAAATATATAGGATACAAATCCTATATTCCAACAAATGACTAAAAAAACACAAAGTAGAGTTGCACACCCGCAAAATCGGATCAAAACGATTCAAAACAGATTTCACAATAAGGTGTGAAATTAATTTTCTGACCAATGAAAGGAGGCGATTTGCTAAACCAAAAAAAAAAAAAGATAACGAGCCATCTGTTCTCGAAAAAAAAGTCAACAATAAATACAGAGTTTTCAAGTCAATCAAGTCAGTCAGTCAGAGAAGGACGCAAAATTATTTACAGAAGATTGACAGTAAATTTCATCATTGACTCAAACTTATTAAAAATAACGGAAAATGGAAAATTCT